GTGGGGACGCCCCTCCGAGGTGGAGGCGCGAGCGCCTCCCGAGTCCTCCGGGGTGTTTCGCGGGAAGGGGTGGCTCGACCGCAGCGGAATAAGGGATGCCGGGGGCGGAAAGTGGCCCCGTTACAAGTTTTACTGCAGTTTTGCGGCCTCGAGACTGCGCGAGCGCGTAACGGCCGGCAATTGAATTTAAATATTCAATTATGCGATGTGTAAATGAAATAGAAGCCTTATGCAAATCGGCTACACGCTAAGGGTTGTTGCAAATTTAAAGGGTTAAATATTTATTAGCGTGGGCGGCGAGGCAGGGTTAACTGAGATTTATGGGAGGCGCGGGTCTCCGTGCCTTTGGGAATCGCGAGAGGCCGATTCGTATGGAGCCCCTGCCCCCCGGGCGGGCGGGGGCAATTCCGCCGCCGGAGGACCCCCCCCCCCATGCAAATGGGGCCCGGGGGAGGCACCCTGTCGGGTTCCTTCGTTTGAACCGGGCGGAACCTCCTAATTAGAGCTCCTCTCTCGTTATTTCGCCGAAAACGAGTCGCCTTGTTATTTCGGGGCACAGAAAACTTGGGGCCCTACCCACCCCCTGATCCCTGGGGGACACGTCGTCCCCTCGCCGTTTTCGTCCGCTAGGGAGGTAGTCTTTTAAGAACTTCAACCGCCAGAAATTGGTCTCGAGCCAAAAGTCCAAAATGTCGCACTTATCAACGTGGAAGAAAAGAAAGAAACGCTCTAATAATTAATTTTCGCCGCTGCTGGAAGTCACTTCCAAAGCCACCCGCAGTAGGTCCCCCAATTTGTTCGGAGTTGTACGTCTTGGGGATGCAAAAAGCGAGGATCGACGTTGGCAGAGGTGGTGACGCCATTTTGAAAAAAAAAAAAACCAAAAGAGAGGAGGGTGAATTCCGCACCGCCACTCGCGCGCTACCAGGAGGGAGGGCGCGACGTCATCGCGAGATAATGAAGTCCACGCATAATCTCTTTAACTCAACAAGGCTAACATTTATTTATAATGAAAATACGTTGATTGAGACAATAGTTTAAACAGTATCGTTATCGGTAAATATATTATCACTATAATGCTAGTCGTATACAATGTGCGGGTGAGTGTCATCCTTAAACCTAGGGTAAGACGTAATGCAACACACATACATACGTACAGAGTCCGTCACCGAGGGGACCCCCCTTCGAAGTCATACCCCCTCTCGCTCGCTCCGTCTCTCTCGCACCACAGGCATCCGCATGCACTCTCCCTGTCTCTCTCTCTCCCTATCGGGCGCGTTCAATGTTAACAAGTACAAGAAACAATGGGAAACAAAAACGTAACTACACGACATCAACAAATGCGTCTCGCGGGACATCAGTGGGTGGCCTCGAGGAGGTAAGAAAAGAAGAGTGGAAGGTGAGTCCGCGTCCGATTTTCCGCATGCGGAATTTCGGAGAGCCTATCACCGTGCACTGCCGCCGCGCCGCGGCGCCCTTCGTCGCGAAATCGTCGGAAAACCGTTGAAAAGCTGCGGAAATCGTCGAAAATCGAGGACAGCCTCGAAACCGCTACGAAATTCCGCCTTCCGGCCGCGGCAGAATGAGATCCAGGGTCCGACTCTAAGTACAGTAATCGTAAAATCGAAGTCGAGCCGACTCGTAAATGCATCCAGGAATACTGCGATCTGGGCCGGGGCGAGGGGCAGTGCGTACGCGTGTATATATACGTGTGTGTATATATGTATACATGTAGTAACAAAAGAAACGACGCGGGGCTTGGTAACGCCGAAAAAGCGTCCCGACACTAGACGGGAGCTTCCGCGTTCTGAAATAGGTACCAGGGTTGAGACCACTCGAATCGACTTTAATATCATTTTAATCAATTGACATCTACTTAAAAAAGATCACGATTTCTTCAACAGGGTGAATACTACATGCATACATGATGAGTACTTCTGCATCGAGAGAAAAATGTCACTGGACCAAAGAAATATATCTTCGAATAGCGCCACAGAAATACTTTGTTAATTCGAAGAATAATAATACGCTTGGAATAAACTCGAATAAATTAAATGCAACATTTCATCGTAACCATGATAATTTATTCGAATTAATTGTAGTAAAATAATTATTCTTCGAATTATCAAAATATATGTTTGGTATCATTCAAAGAAATATCTCATTGTTCGTTGAATTTCTTTTCCTGTGCGGCATTGAGTAACACCGATCTAACCCCAATCTCAAAAACGAGGAGTTGATTGAGTGACTTGAAATTAATAAGAGAAATCGTGATTTTCGTCAACCCTGTCAAAAGCGCACTCTCTCTTTCTTGACGCGCGCGCACCCACTGTGTGTAACCTATGGCACTAAGTATTCACGTTCCATCCTTACGCGCGACCATTGAGCTCTCCGCGTTCTCCGGCGCATTCTCGCACACACCTTGCGTTCTCGGCACTCTCTCCCTCTCCCTCGCTCCCCCTCGCGGCGGGTCGTCGCGTCTCTCTCGGCGTGTCGTGGAGTCCCACTCGACGCGTCGTCGCGTCTCACTCGGCGCAACTCTCGTCCCACGCTCTCGTCCTTTCGAAGAGAGTCCGGTCTCCCTTTCGTGTCTCTCGTGTCCGTCTTCTCTCTCGCCCCTCGTTCAGCGTTCTCCAAACGATCGCATATTTCCGTCTCCCAGCATCTCAGCCTCCTTCGATTCGCCCTCTCAAGCCGAGAGAACCGGCTCGCTCGCCGGTATTCTTGGCCCTAGGTTCGGCACTCGTAACTAGGGTCCCTAGGTCGGCAGTCGCGGAAACCCGACCCCATGGCCCCGTACTTTTTCTCCCCCATCGCCGTGACCGGAGCCGATCGCGGGGGTCTCAAGGGGGGATATACCCCCCTCATCGAGATCCGCCCGATCGATCATCTCGATCAACGCCCGCGGAGCGGGCTGGTGCCTCGTCTCGATACTCACCCTGCGCCCTTATTTCGATTTCGAATTTCCGAACTGCCTCGTTTCCACCCCCCTGCCTCACGGGCGTGGGTGGACGTGCGTCGATCTCTCGACCGCGCGAGGCGGTATGCACGTTACAAATCGCCATATACACCCGTCGAAATAAAGGGTTAAGGGTGACACCGGTGAGCGGAGTTCACACTCCTCTCCCGGCATCGTCGAGCTCTTTGGCGTGGCACCAGCCAGAGGCGATCTTTTCATCGACCTCTCCGCTCGATCTTTTCATTTGGGGGATCAAGTACGGGGATTGGGGGTGGATTTCGCGCGCCTTGCCGACCAGGACATGTACCTCACACAACTCCCTAGTTACGAGTACCGAGACCTAGTTACTAATGCGCGTTCCGGCTTCCGGGTGACTCTTCATTTTCTCTTCTCAGCGGATTTCTCGTGGGCTCTCCTCGATGTCGCTCCTAGACTTCGACCTCGGCCCTAGATTTTGATTTTTCGCTACCCTACTCGCGTCACGCACATATACACACACTCATGCGCGCGCGTACACACACACACACACACACACACACACACACACACACACACACACTCTCGACATCTCGCGCCCTCCCTTCGGTCGAGTCGCGCCAATAATTGAAACCCTCGCTCTACCCCCGAGACGTAGCGCTCTCCTCTCCAGAGATCCGTTTAAAAATAGACACAAATCCATTTGTGACGACCTTACATACCTATTACGTATATATTCCGATCACGATTAATTACTCGTTACTCGAGCGCGCCCGACGCCGCGCAGTCCGGCGCGCGCGAGCGGAAGCTGGGCGCATGCGCCCTCGCGCCGATTCCACCCTCCTCCTCTCCTCCCTACTGCCCTACCTAGCTACCTAGCCGCCGCCCTACCGCGCCCTCTCGCGCCGTCACGTGATGCCCGGGAAATCGAGACCAATCCGCGCGAGGGGGTATTCACTCGGGAAATCATGGATGTTAATTCTCAAAGTAACGCGGACGATCGGCTGGAAATCGCAACCAGAAATCTCTGAGACCCGATACTCGAGAGTTCGTGCGGATTTTCACCGCATGCGAATATGACCGCATGACAAAATTTTATACCGCTGCGAAGTCAACGTCCGAAAGTCGTACACGAAACTGTGAATTCGCGTGCAAAAGTGAATCGTCCGATCCTCGAGGACCGGTCCCTAATAATCGTTGGAGATCATCAAAAGGTCCCAATGTTAAGACCGACCGTCCCTCGTTACCGAATCTCTCATTATCGTTTGTCATAGGAAATCAAAGGAAATCGTTTTCCCTAATTTCCGAATGAACAACCCCTCGAGTTATTCGCTCAGGAAATCGCAGATTTCAATGCTCGAAATCAGCCGGAAATCCCGAGCAGAAATCAGCTGGGAAACGTTAGAAGTCACCGAACACCGCGATATCAAGGCCGATCGTCCCTTGTCACCGAGTGACATCGTCGAAACGAATGGCGATCGGTTCTCAAAAAAGGAATTCGTTTTCCCTGATTTCCGAGTGAATATCCCCTGGAATCCGTCTCCCACCCCCCTCGCTCTCTCCTGCTCTCTCCTGCTCTCTCCCTCCCGCCGGGAGAGACGGGACGAGGGTGGGGTGGGAATCAGAAAAGACGACACGAGAGCCGGACCGGGAGGGGGCTGAGGGGGCGAAGGCTCGCCGAGAACAGGTGGAGGAGGAAGAGGAAGAGAGCTCTCGCGGAGATCGGTAACTCCGGTGCGTCCCATTACGAGCACGGATAGACGGCCGAGCTGATGGTGTGGTAGGCGGCGAGGGCGGCGTGCGCGTGCGCGTGCGCGTGCGCCGGGGGCGCGGAGGCGGCGGCGTGCGGCGAGGCCATGGCGGAGGCCGCCGCTGCCATCATCATCTGCTGGTGCGTACGCTTTAGGGAGTTGGGAGTTGTGGCGGCGCTACTGGGGGTGTTCGCTTGCGGGTGGTTTTGGTTTTGGTTTTGGCTCAGTTGCAGGGGCGTGGTACTGCCAATGGCGTGGTGGGGGGTGATCGCGTCGTGCGGATAGTAAGACGTGGACGAGGGCGAGGTACTCACGACGTCCGGCGTGCTGGCTCCGTCCGTGTGGCTGGTGCTGTCAGCCGTGCTCCGGGGACCGCCCTCGAGGCCGTTCCCCATCTCCGGCGGCTTCGTGCTCTCCCGGTCGTCGATCACCAGGTCGATCGGCATCTTGCCCTTCAGGCAGCTGATGTACCGGTGGCAGAAGTTGTCGCAGAGCTCGTGCACCTGCAACCCAACGGACCCTTTTATCGAGACCGCCTCCGTGTACATGTACGCGAACGAGTTCCAGTATTTACAATGTATAATATAGGGATATACTAGGGATATCGTGGATCTTAATGCCCGAAATCCCGGGGAAAACGGCTGGAAATCGCTGAACCTTTGGCAACGATTTTACGGCCGATCGTCGTTTGACGTTAAATTACATTTTCGTCATATGGAACGAAAGGCACTCGGTTCTCAAAGAAGGAAAGGAAATCGTGTTCACCGATTTCCGAGGGAATAGCTCCTTGATCCCGATTCTATCCTGAGAGAAAAATGTTGGTTGACTCAAAGAAATACGCCCTGCGGCAACAAAATCCTAGGAACAAATATGTCCAATGAAATATCAGATCGAGTAAACCAAATTAGTTTAAATCAACAACGTACATCTTTCTTCTGAAAAGAAAATAATAATAATAATAATTGTTTCTTGCAATCATACATGATTCAGGCAACGCTATACATGTCAACGCTGTAGATCTGTTTCGGTCAACTAATTTTTTTCTCTTAGGATAGGTTAGTCGATCGCGTCCCTGCGTACCTGCGCACGTGGATCGCGAGTCCCGGATTGAAACGCCTAACCCGGGAGCGGATCCACTTATCACATATTACAAATCTATGAATCATTCCCGTGTGTATATTTCCCGGCATTAAGTAAACCCTGGGCTCGCGGGTGCGTCCAAGAGGTCTCCTCTTTCTCCCTCTCTCCTTCTCTCCGAGCAGCCTTTCGGAGCCTCGCAGAGGTTTTGGATTCATCGGGGCGACCGGAGGGGTCGGGGGGAGGTGGCGTGGCAAGAGGTTAGGTTATGCGCGCACCACGGAGAGCGAGCGAGAGGGGCCACAGAAGATCATAGAGGAGGGAGAGAGAGGGAAGAGGCGAGCGTATGCGTAGGATCTCTCGAGGCCGCAGAAGCGGTCTGGCAGCGAGCCGATGCCTGCAGGGAGGAGGAGGAGGAAGAAAAGGAGGAGGAGGAGGAGGAGGAGGAGGTCTGACCGGTGTCCAGTCGACCAGAATGTTATGTATGCAAATGAGGCCTGACAGGCCTATAGGATACCCATCCTGTACCCCGTCCCTCCCCGGCCTGCCGAGCTCGCGGCAGGCCTCCCGATTCGGTTTAGAAAAAATATATTATATAAGCAAAAACAAATAAAAATCGTTATCTCGTTATATGTAAATCGGCGAGAGGGAGGAGCGGGCGAGGGGGGACCGGCCCTCCCCCCGCCCAGTGGAGGGTCTCCCTCGTTCCGAGGGAAGAAGAGCGAGAGAGACGGCGGGAAGCCGGGGGACTGCGAGAGAGAGAAGGATGGAAAAGGTTACTCCTAACCTATTCTTATTAGGTATTTATGCGTAATAGGCGGCCATGTTGCTAGGCCGGCCCGGCCAATAGGGAAGACCCTTCCACGCCCGAATGGACAATGCTCCCGTTTATCGTGCGGCTTCCGCGATATGCGATATGCAAAACCTCCCCCTTGGAAATCGCTGAGCTATCCTTCTCCGCGGGGAACGGCACCCCCTCACTCCAGCCTTCCCTCCCCGGTTCCGACGTCGCGAGTCCCGCGGCTCCGGGGACGATTCCACGGGGTCCTGGGGTCCCTCCGCCTCGGCGTGGCGGCGGCGAAGGGACCAAAGGACAGCGGCTATAATGCCGGACTGGTTAGAATTTGATCCGGCGGGAGTCGAGCCGAACCCCGACAATGGCTCGCGTAGAAAAGAAACGAAGGTCCTCTCGCGCGATAGGATACAGGGGAGCCGCCTGGTCCCTCGTTCGCTGCCTCTCTCTCTCTCTCTGACTCCCGCGCCCCCGCATCCTCCCCTCTCTCTCGCCCGCGCCCGCCTCTACCGCGTAAGAGATCGCTCTCTTCGGCTTTATATCTAGGTACTTTGGTATAAACTGCCTCGTCTTCCCTCCCGGTACGCGCATCTACGTCCCTCTCTCTATCTCTCTATCTCCTTCTCTCTCTTTCCCTCTCGCTCTCTCCTTCCCGCTTTTCTATTCCCGACTTCAGCGACGAGCCCGGTACCGGATACCGGACCACACGCATACGATACCTCGACGCGCAGCTTCCACGAGGATCGGCCATTATGAGCTCTCCGATGACGAGGGACCCGAGGAAGGGGCGGAGGCATCTCCCCCTCCCCTCTTTCTCTCCCGGGGACACTTTTCGGACACCCCTCCCCCCCGTCTGATTTTCCCCCTTTCCGAAACCGGCCCTCGAGGGGGTTGCTCCTTCGGGCTGGTTCTCGCGACACGCACCCGGCGACACACCCGGGCCGAGATCGGTTTCGCTTCCGGGAATTCGATCGAGTTTTTTCTCACCCCCTCCCCCCTCCCCACTCGACCGCCGCGCCGTGCCATGGCGTGCCTTTATGGAAATTTATCTGATGGAGAACCGGAACGGAGGCGGCCAGCTGACGGCCTTACGTAACGTCCGAAGAGGACCCTCGAGAGCCCGCTCGGAGAAGAGGAACTAGGACCACGAGAGGATGTCCTCGATGAGATACGAAAATTCCCCCCGCGAGTCCTGGAACGTCCTTGAGGGATTCCGCTAGAGTAGTTCTGGCTTGGTTCCACTTATATTTTAATTTTTTTTTTTCCCCGACTTTGGGCATGCTTTAAGGCGACGTGCAACCCGCCTCGACTCGAATGAGAAACTTTTTTCGAAGGGTGTCCCACGGATTGGCGGAAATTTCGACAGTTTACTCGGGTGATCCTAAAGAGTGTCTCAACACTTCAGAAATTTTGAGGTTTAGAAATGTCAAGATCCAAAAGTTATCCCTGCGAGTCTTGGAACGTCCTCGAGGTATCCCGCTGGAGTGGTCGTCGATGCTTGGAATACTTCCCCGACTCTCCGCATATTTCGGTCGGTATGGAATATTCTTTAAGGCTCTGATGTGGGAAACGAATTCGTCAGGATCGTAGTATGACGATTTAGAACACCCTAGGTGGAAGAAATTGTTTTTAACGACGACGATGATGTTTCTCGTATTTCGCTTCGCCGGAAATTCAGAGTATTTTCTGGTCCCTGGACTGTCTAAGGATTCGTTCTCGCGACGATCGCGCGAAAGCGGAAGTCGATATCGATATGAACGCGTACTCGCGCTTAAGGAAGCCCTCCTGTCTCAGGGGGAGGGAGTGCCCCCTGGTAATTCGAGATCACTGCCGCTTTACGGTTCGTTTAACGATTGACCCGGTCGAGTACCACTCGTCGTAAGACGACGCTAAACGCCTTCCCGCGAGTCGGCTGAGGCCCGACTCCTGTCTTTTTAGGAGCGATCAAATGAAGTAAGGAAGAGTAAAAGTACCCTGTGAAACAGAAATTCATTGAACCGAAGAAATATTTCCTTGAATGGTACACCAAGGGAATCATTTCGTTAAGCCGAAGACAATGATTTGATTCAATGAATTATAGATATACTCAAGTAAATTGTCATAATTCCGAAGAAATGTACCTTAGTGTTTGTTCGAGCCAAATCATGATTCCTTGAGTTAACGAAATATTTCTTTCGTTCGATGAGATTTCTTCCGTCAGGATATCATCCAAACGTTGAACCCGGGATCGGGGATTGAGAGGAAAAAATTGGCCTCGAAATGCCGCAAAGAACGTCGCCGGAAATGGGCGCGAAGCATCGACCAGAGAGCGAGAGAGAGAAAGAAAAAAGGAAAAAATAGGGAGATCGGCCCAAAATTTCGAACCCCGCAGTGCAACACGAAATACCGCTCCTCTCCTATACAAAGGTTTGATTCGCGTCTTTTTAACAAGATCCAACAAAACAAGGCGAAAAAGAGAGGACAAAAAATACGACCACTTCCTCTCGATCCAAAATCAAAATGAGAGAATAAAAAAAATTGACCGCGAAGTGCCGCCCGGCGTCGCGAGTATCGGGCGCAACGAGGCGTCGCGACGCACCGGCCGAAAGGGAGGGAGAGAGAGTGAGAGAGAGAAAGAGCGACAGAGTATCGGCATAAAATTTCGGGCCGTTCCCATTGTACAGACAGGCGTCCGCGGTGAGGGGCGAATCCGGCTCGTAAAATCGCGACGAGGGCCCGGTCGGTTTCGCGTGGCCGCTCGAAAAATTTGGCCCACTCGACCGCGGGGGTCGCGGCCGTCCGACCCGTGAAGCCGTAAAACCCGCGAGCGCTTTACGAGGCAACTGTCATTCCGCACGGCGTGTCCGGGGATCGGGCAGAAATCGGTAGTCGGCACGTCCAGGCCCACGGGGCCCCCGGGATATGCGAAAGGAGGACGAGGAGCGACTCTGCCTACGGCGGTACCCTGAGGAAAACCACTCATGAAACGAAAGAGATCTTAACGATGGTAAAGAAATATTGGGGGAATCGGAAAGTAATGTCGTTTTCTTACATTCAATTCAACGCGCGGAATACATTACTTTCCGGTCCCCCTAATACATCATAAATCCAAACGAAATAATTATTTCCCCGAAAATGAACTGGAATAAATTGTCCGCAAAGTTTCATCGAAATGATGACACTTAACTCAATTGTCTGTGAAGTTCTTTGGCAATTGACAAAAAATATTTCCTTGGTACTATTCAAAGAGAAAAGTTCATCGAACCAAAGATTTCTTTTAATGGTGCCGAGGAAATATTCGGTCGATTCGAAGAATAATTATTTGACTGAAATAAACCCAAATAAATTGTCGTAACTCGGAGGAAACCTCGCATCCGATTAAATCTCGAGTTTGGGGGAAATAGTAATTCTTTGAATGACGAAAATATTTCTGCGGGAAGTTTCGAGGAAAGATTTCTGTGCTTCAATGAATTTTTCCTTCCGAGGGTAGAAAGAGATTGGGAGAACGTGGCTCTCACCTTCGGCGGGAGGAGGGAAGTGCCCCCCCTGGAACGAGTTCCCGATTCAAAGACGCTCTCTAAACGCCGTTGCCCCCTCCTCCCAGGAGGCAGAGCCCTCCGCGACGCGGGGAGGTTTCGCACGTAACATTGTACGCACCCGGGGCGCTTTTTTGCCCCGAAAATTGGCCCGGAATCTGGGCAAACGAGCCGGCGGTGTCGTCGGCCCCTGCCCCCGCTGGACCGAGAGGGAGCCGGGCCCATCGGAAAGCCAAACGGCGCGGAATGGCTCCGGCTAGAGAGAGGCAGGAGGGAGCGAGAGGAAGAGAGGGCTATGTAAAAAAGGCAGGGAACCCCATTTATGGCACAATGGGCTCCTTTGAGGCCGAACGGTAATGAAGGTTTCGGGGTGTCTGTCTCGGGTCTCTGGCCGATTCTCAACCTGACCACCCCTTGGGAGAGCACGCAGAGCCCGGAGTATACCGGGTACCGCGACCGGGCCCCGAGGAGCCGCTTTTCGTTTTTCCGCCCGGTGACTTTTGTCTCCCCCCTCGACCTAGGTCCCTTTCCGACCAGGTCGACCGGGGACGGTCCCGTTTTGGACAAAGAGCCCGGGCCAGGTACGGCGATATCTGGGCCCAGATTTACCAGCGGGAGGGAAAAAGCGGACCCCTGACTTTTCCGAAATTCCTCGAACGTTCCTTGCCCCGAATGCTCCCGCCATGGAGAAAAGGTCCAGACCGAGGTTCTCACCCGAGGGAACCATCGATCCGAGGGGTTATTTGCTCAGGAAATCCTGGATTCTAATGCTCGATATCACGTGGGAATTACCTAGAAATTGCACGCAGAAGTCACTGGGAATCGCCGAAACATTGTCACAATCGTGGAGTTATTCCCTCAGGATATCGTGAATTTTAATGCTCGACATAACGTGAAGACCATCTGGAAATCGCTCGAAATCAACGAAAATTCCCGAGACGTCCCTATTTTAAGGCCGAACGTTACATGTTACCGAATCGAAGCGTCGTTCATCGTTTGAAATCGATGTCAATCGGTTCTCAAAGAAAGAAATCATTTTCCCTGATTTACGAGTGAATAACCCGGCGGATAAGTCCCAGAGCACGGATTCAAATGAAAGGGGGAAATACGAAATACGGTATCACTGCATGCCTAAACAGCGGAAGCTGCAAGGAGGATCAGTCAACTTGGATAGAAAACCGAGGGAATAAAAGTGAAATAGAAAATTGTAGAGAGAGAAAGAGACAGAGAGAGAGAAACGGGAATTACAGCCGACAAGAGACGACTCGTCATTGGAATTCATTGGATCAATGAAGATTGGAGCACGCGCGCGGAATACGTAATCGCAGGAGCAGATCGTTATTCAAATCCCTCCGAGGAGCAAACGGGACCCGAGGACCGCGCATGCGCAGAGGGCGGCACGGCGGCCAGAGTTCGCGGGGCCCCCGGGCCCCGAGCCAAGAAGCCGTCTGGATTGGTCGGAACCAGTTTCCAGATCGTCCAGGGTGGAGCGACGCGTTTTACTATGAAAATCCCGTAGGTATGCGCCGTATGCCCCGTAAGAGGGACGTCTCTCTCTCCTCCTCGGGCCCCAGAGAGCGTTCGAGCGATTCCTGGGCCCGCCAGTGACGGCCAGGCGGGGACCGAGACACCGTGTCCAGTTGGCTAGCGCGCCGCAAAACGTAATTATGCTAATACGCGATTGGCTGAAAAATGTTAAGTGCACGGCGAGGTGCACCACGGGCTACGGGCCCGCGATTGGTCGGCGCGGCCCAGGAATTCGGAGAATCCTCCGGCGCAGGCGCGGGCGCGCATTCCTCTTCCCCGGTCGGGCCCGTCGGGGCCCGAGAGAGACGTTTCAATCCCACCGCTAGAGCCGGACTCCCCCGGGAGGCTTTCCTACCCGACTCGCTGGAGAACGCGGAGCGCGTTCCCGAGAAAACGACGACGCGACCCCAGAGTGACGTCGATTCCAAAATGGCGGCCTAGAGAGGCGGAAGGAGACGTTTCTATTCGATGACGCGAGAGGACCTTTTCCATGGGGTCCTTCGACTTTCCCCATCAGAGAACGCGTCGCGACGCCGTGCGGCAGTATTTTCAAGATGGCAGCCAAGGAAACCCTGAAGGAGGCGTTTTAATTCCGACTGATGAGAGGACCGTCCCATCGTGTATTTCGACTTCGGGGCCGCATCGCAACGCCGGGTGACGTTACTTTCAAGATGGCGGCCTGACGAGGCCCGAAGGAAACGTTTCGACCACGTCTCGCGAAACTATCGACCCATTCCATTTTTCGGCTTTCCCCGTCAGAGAACGCGTTGCGACGCCGTGTGACGTCACATCCAAGATGGCGGTCAGGAGGGGGCCCGGCATGGACCCACCTCGACCGATCTCGCCCGCGGCCACCGGCCCTCGTTGCGGGGCAATCATCGATAAACCTGGAAAATTGCTATAAAATTGGTCGATAATCCGAGGACCGTCGGGCCCCCCGGGCCCTCACGCCGACGGCCGCCATTTCGATGGAAATGCGATGGGTCCCCGGCATCTCGTATGATAAAACGAGCGGCTCGACGCCGGCCGTCGGCCGCGAGCCGTCGATCGGCCGACGATCGAGATAGGTCTCGAAACCGCGAGATAATAACTCGAAGCGAGGGTCCAGCGCGAGAGAAACGGCGCTGGGCCCCTACATCCGGGGGAGGGGGAGTGCCGTCTCCCGAGCAGGGGGACCCGCCCCTTGGAGCCCCGTAGGAGGGCCCGGACGTAACGGGCCGCGGTTTCCCCCCTCCCGATTCGCTTCCTCGCGCGCTTTTTCCGCGGCGTTTTGCGCCGGAGCGCGAGACAGCGGCGCGGAAGGCTCGCGGCCGATCACCGGGCCGAGCGTCGGCCGCCTCGGCGGGTAATTTCCGTTCTTACCGACCATTGGACAGCTAAATCACTCCACTTAGACCGGACTCGGTCTCTAACTACGCGCGCGCGCCATATCCGAGGCCTCTAGCACGAGCTTTCACTACAATTACGGGAAATTGCCCTAAGTCATAACAGTCGTTGCGGCGCGCCGCAGCGGGAAGCTTTCCGCCGTGCCCGAAACCGGCGCGGCCCCCTCGGGGGCCCGATCCTCCTCCGATCCACCATCGGCGTCGGATGGAAAGTGCGACCGGTCGCCCGGCGCCGCCATTATTGGCGGCCGGCTTCTCCCGGATTCCTCCTACAGTTTTCTTTTTCTTTTCTTTTCTTTATCGCCGCGAGCGAAAGCCGAGCGATAATGGCGGGCGGTGGTGCGCGCCCGCTCTCCTCGGTTAAATAAAACGAGAGGGAAGCGACGCCGAGATAAAAAGCGCATACCCGCGACCCCCACCCCCTCTCCGCCCTCGCGAGGCGGGGTGGGGGGTACGCACCGCGGGTCCGAGCCTATAAATACGGCAGCGACGGGCCACCCCGCGTCACTCACCTTTTCGAGCTCGAGGAGGTGAAACCGGAGGACCTGGATCGCCTGGACCATCTGAAACAAGAAGAGGAACGGAGGTAGAGTCAATTCGGCGCACCGTCCCAAGGTGGGAGAAGGTGGAGTTCGCCGAGGCCCGACTTTTTGGGTCCGGCGGGAGTGTTCGGAGAGGGAGGAAGGGGGGGGGGGGTGAAGAACACGAACCAGACATGATATAACCACACGTTGCAACACAGAGAGTCGGTAGTTGGCCGGGGATACGCGGCCGCGATTCTCCTTTTTCCGCGCGGCGTATCGTCCGCCATTCCGCGCACGCTGCCCCCCCGCCTCCCCGCGCACCTTTCTTTCCTTCGCTTCCCGCCTCGCTAAACGGAGATTAATTGCATTTGCATTCGTTAACTGCATATCTCCCGTACTCCCACCCTGGGTATTTATTCGGGAAAACTCCACGTATCTCGGGGTTACCGACAGAGACGCGACGTTCTCGTTCCTGCGCTCTTAAACAATCGACGCATGGATGCACCGGCTTCCCACCTCTTGAAACTGACGAAATTTCATAGAACGAAGGAATCTTTTTTCTTTTTTTCTTTTTCGATTCTTGTCCGGGATAAATAAAAAAGCCTTTCTTTTTTTTTTGATTTTCAATTATAAATTTAAAATCTCGCGCGTCGCGAGACCTTCGTTAGGACCTCCATGGTCACCTTTCCCCCGTGCACGCACTTCCGCATTTCAAATTGTTTTATGCACCCGGATTGGAGAAATGTTTTATATACGTATCGTATCACCCACACATATATGTGCCACATCCATGACACCTTAATCTATCGAAGATCGAGCCCGAATCACCCCCCTTGGACGTGTGACGGAGCCGATCGTCCACTAAACGAACCTCCTTCTCTGCGGTCATGAAACTCTTCAACCATAGTTCAAAATCGTACCGTTCAAAGTTTCCCCCGCCACTCGCGTGCGCCTGCGCGTGGCGAGGGAAACTCGAGCGGCTAATTCGAACGATGCCGTCGCCGATTAAGAGCCGGGCCACCTTCCCCACCCGGTCGGGCGCGCTAGTCGGCGCGACGTCATGCTCTCGAGCCTCCGCACAATCGGCAGCCGAGGGAAAGGAGGCCGGGGGGAGGGGGTGAGGGAAGACTCGAGTCCGGCCGCGGGGCCGTCGGACGTTCGAGGCAGCAAGTCGGGCGCGGCGCGAGTCCGATGACGCGGGTTTATATTTAAAGCCGAAAGCCGGAACGGGCCGCGCGCGGAGGGCGGCCGATCGCGTTGCGTCCGAGGCTCGGACCCGAAGTGTCGGGCCCGACACGGGGGCCCGGCGATGTTATCTCCGACCCTAGGCGGTGGAGATGGCCCGCGAGAAGAGGTTAGGTCCGCGCCTCCCCCTCCCCCGTCTCCTCCAGGCGGGGCACACAATGTGTCCTCTGTGCGGGAGGCTGGGAGCGATCCTCGCACCGGCCCGCGGACCCTCTCTCTGTAGAGAGCAAGAGAGAGAGGACTCCGGTCATGGCATCGCATCGCCGTGTTTTGCCGCGATCGCTCATCACGTGATATTAATTAACGCGGCAAGAAGGGGGCGACCGAGAAAAATGAAGGGAGCACGAAGAAACGGGGTAGATGGTGTTATTTATAAGAGGGCGAAAAAGAGAGAGCGACGGACTAGCCGGCCGCGCGGCCGATGCATAATGCATAGTGGCCGCGTGAGAGCGACTTGGGGGGGGGGGGGGGGCAATCTCTCTCGATCGCGTTGCACTCACTCGAGGGAGCCCGAAGCCCGAGGAAGTGCAAATCTCGCGACATATCGCGGCCGAGACGCAGGTCGACGGTGTCGATCCCCCGTCGTCGATGTCCGTCTACGTCGCCGCATACCCTCGACGATCGCGAATCTTCATTTTTAATCTTCATTACCCCTTTCCGTTGAAATATCGATCGGACGAGCCCGGCGAAGGCATTCCGCGGAGCCGTCGCTCCTCCTCCGCGACGTCGTAAATCCCGCGAGATGTCGCGGATGGGACGAAAAGTTACGGTACTGAGAGGGGGAGGGAAGGGAGGACTTCCGCGGGGGTGGCGCGGACGCGATCGGGCAGGAATGTCGTCCACATTATCCGGGAGCGGTGTCGGCACTCACCGGACCGACTATTACGGCTGAAGAATCGAGGGGGACTTGTTGAGGGGGAAGGGATAGTAACGATTAAAGGCGTGGAACCCGCTACGACGCTTATCAATGAGCGCTGATTTACGACGCCGGCGCATCCCGCCTCTGTTTGGCGTCTCCTTCTCTTGCCCCCCCCCCGTCCCACCGCGACCACCGACGAGCGGCCAGATCAGCGATCGCGATCATGCGAAGAGGTGCGGTATTAGAGAGGGACTTCGAGGGGGGAAACGGGGGGGGTTATTTCAGTTACAATTTTATCGGGACGACCGTTCAATAAAGTACCCCTAACGCGCCGGGTCTCGTTTCAAGTAGTTTCAAGCACGAGTGGGTTTAATGCCTCCCACAGTGGGCGCCGAACGCTGAAACCCGATCCCGCGCGCCTCGTCATCGGTTGATTACGATTAAAGGGAAAGAAAACAAAGATATAAAAAAAAAAGGAAGAGGAAGAAAAGGAGACGCGAGAGCGAGGGAAGGAAGAAAAAGGAGGATAGGGGAGCAAAGGTCCGCCGATTACGCGGGGCTTAAAACGGGGGGGCTGAACCCCCTCCCCCTCAGCATCATTATACCGCTCGGACGAAGAGCGCAAATAGACGTTATCCGATTTTCCGCATGGGCAAGGTGCGACACTCTCGGGCGGAGGGGGGCAGTTCAACTCGGCGAGCCCGCAAAGGATGTGTTATCTCGTCCCCCTCCCTCCTCGTCCCATCCCGGGCACTCGGGCCGACAATATTTAAATATTGTTAAACGGCGCGATACGCGCGGCCGGGCAAACACGGCGCACGGTCCCGACGAGGGCCACCGTTCGCCCGTGTAAACACTTCTCTCTCGGCACTCCCCGCACCCCCCCCCCCCCCCCCCCCCCGGGCCGCCATCGCGCCCGGGCCTCCAGGGCGCACCGCGGAAGCGCGCCCGCGGCGCCGCCCACCGCGAAGCGCGCGCGGCTCCCAGTCGCGCGCCGACCGTCACACCGTGCGCATCGCGCACAGGAAGAGCGGAACCCCCGCCCTTCGCGTGGCCGTGCACGGGGCGTGCCGGAATTCACGACCACGGTTTATGTATCGTTAGGGTTGGAAGTGCAGTCAAAAAGGCTCGAAATGATCGCTGGATCGCGGATAGGTTGCGGAGGGATGGTTACCGAAGACAAGCGGGACGCCGAAAACTGCGGGAGGTGGTTTGGTAGTGGTTAGGTAGCCATGTTGGATTTGGAATATCAAACGGAGGGAATTTAACGGTGGTTATGGGCACGTGAGGTTACCGAGGGGGAAACTCACGATTTTATACGGCGGGACGATAGCGCGCAGAGGCACGGGCCATCAAACGACCGCGCGGTCCTCCGTCTTAATAGCTGGAGATTTATCGTCCCGGGGACTCTCGACGCGCCGCGCACAGGGCCTAGCGCAACCTAACCCGACGTGGGAGCCCGGGCGCGGGAGCGCGAGGGAGACCGCGCGAGCCTCCGAACCGGCTGCGCGAGGGAGAGGCGAGAAAGGCACTCGGCGCGCCTCCTATTATGCGCGGACGGAGCGCGCACTCGGCTCTTCGGCGACGCGCGCCGTGTGGTCGCGCCGATGGGACACATGCGTGCGGGCCGCGCTTTAACTGCACCTGCATTTTTGCGAATATTTTCGGCGACATTAACGTCTTAACGAGGGCCGTAACAAGCCCAAAAGGAGGAGCGCGAGCGCGACCCTCTGCCCTCTTCTGACTCGTTTTTTCTCCCCCCTCCCCGCCGACCGAGTCGCATAAAACCATCCGGGATGGCCGCGGAGTTATGCCCGTCGCGGGAGTCGGCCGCTAAGTGGGAATTACGACTCGAGGTTTCCGCGGGGACCGACTGAATTTTCGACTTCTCTAAAAAAAAGTCCAATTTTCTCGTCTCTTTCGCATTTCTTCTTCCCAGGGTGGAGTATTCCACTGTGGGGTCGCCGAGTGCACTCTTTCCAGTCCCGGCGCTCGCATCGATGGGCCTCAGGGGTCGACTCCGACCATTCCCTGGGCAAGGTCAAGGCCAGGCGAGATCGCGAGAATCTCGTGTCGCCGCAGGAATAAAAGGACCACCCGTGTCGCCGCGATCCTCGACGCATCCTCTCCCTCGCGTTATACTTGACGCCTTCACCTTGAGTCTCCTCTCTCTCTCTCGCTCTTTCTCTCTCCGAGGACGAAACGTCGCGAGTTCTCGCGGTCGGAAAGCGGCCGCGTCTCCGGCCCCCCTTTTTCCCCGTCGCCGCGCGGACTGCCAAAATTTTGTTCGGCGGAGGAAGAGGACAGGAAATACGGCAGGAAGGAGAGGAAGAGAGAGAGACAGCGACGCGAGAAAGGCGCCTTAGCGAGCGTGCGAAACGCGGCCGTGACCGGCCGACCTTTCTCGGCCGCGGTTTCTCTTTCCGCTCCGTTGTTTCCTCTCCTCTCTTTCCTCCCTTTCCCATAGAAATCCTCGACGTGGTCTCTCTCTTTCCTCCCTTTCCCAGAGAAATCCTCGACGCGGCCTCTCTCTCCCCGTCCTTTCCTCAGGGGAGCCACGAAAAGCGTAGCACGAAGCCCGAGTGGATGCGTTCCGTAGGGTAAAGGATCGCGTGCAAGGGCTTTGGGCTGCGGCAGGACCCGGGATAAGGACGGGGATAAGAACGGGGATAAGGACCGGGATAAGAGCCAGGACAAGATCCCAAAAAACAGGCCGGAGGCTCACTCGAGCCTTTCCCTGCGACTGCCATGAGTCGAAATTCAGCGCAATTCGACACTTTTTCGAGTGGAGAAAAAAAAACACTCGTCGCGTCCCCGTTCTCAGTTCCGAAATTTCCCGGCGCAAAAGCCGAGTCGAAATTCAAATTAAGGCGCCAAGTGGGGTCAAAGAGGTCTCGTTCGTGAAACTTTCCTCCGAACTGGGTGTACAGAACCGTTTCAAGCTTTACAACGTGAACACGAAGTCTATAAGGACGGTCTTTGCTCTAATGAAATTTCAGTGTTTTCTTTTTCTTTAAATTTTACATTCGCAGATATTTTCGAAAAATGTTCATAACAAAATTAAATTCCAAGTAGTTCGGGACCTTCCATAGAGTCTTCCCATTCGCTTGGTAAAGTTTGAAACGATCCGGCACACGGTTCGGAGAAAAGTCTCCCGAACGATTGATCCATCGGGATGCCACTTTCACATCGCCTTAAATATAAAAACTCAAGGTATACGTCCCGTAGCTACTTCCAACATGAAACACCGACACGCGGATCCAAAACCGAGGTAGGAAAGTCTCGGTACAACATTGTGTGCCGTTTACTCCTAATAACTTCCCGGCGTTTTCCGGCTCGTTTCCGCGCGTCGGCGCGTCGACCCTGCGAGGTCCAGAGAGAGAAAGAGAGAGAGGACCGTCCATTCGTGCCCTCGCAATTCTTCGGACACGCGGTCGGCAATTAGCATCTCATTGGCTCATTTCTCGCGTATGCTAATGGGACATTATTTAAAGCGCGCGCGCGCGCCTCTCAGAACTCGCCAAGACGCCGCGCGCCGCGTTCATCCCCCGCGTCGACGCGGCGACGCGGCGACGCAGCGACGCAGCGATGCGGGCGCGCGTGTTACGCGCGCGACGATAACTCGCGGTAACAACTGTAATTACCCTGGCCCCCTCCCACCCCTACGATTCCGGTATTTACATTACAATTAGGTCCCCCGCGCTACGCTCGCTGTAAATACGAGTGCAATAATGCCAGTTATTACGATAATGCGAGAGATGTTTATCCCCGCGAGCGTAAAGCGCGCATCGTCGCAGATACGGTCGATCTGTCCCTTTCTTTTTCTCTCTCTCCCTCTTTCTCTTTGTTGCGGCTATCGCGAGGGAGCTTCCGCGTTCGCGGGGCGCCGTGCCCCCCGAGGGTGAGGGCACCTGAGGGGGGGCGGGCTGACCCGTTACAGGGGCCCGACGCGGAGCCGGCTCCTCTTCTCTATCTCTTTGTCTCTCTCTCTCTCCCTCTCCCTCTAATTGGCGAGGTGCACGCCAAGAATGGCCGACCCCTCGCCATTGAACGGCCGCGCCGACCCCGCTGACCTTGACTGCGTGCACCGCGATCCACTTTCGCGTGCCATTATGCGCCCCGGGCGAGTCCGTTGCATGCGCGGGCCCGGCCGCGCCCGGGGATGGGACACGCGCGACCCACCGGAGAGAGAGGAGGGCCTCTCTCGCCGCGCCCGGCAACAATGGCGCCACTTTGTTTTCCTACCGGCGAAACACCGCCCCGGGACGAGGGGCGGCCCCGAGGGTTCGTTGTCTCGGGGCCCGGAGTCAAGAGGTCGACGGGGATCCTCCCTCCCCCTGGCTGGGGGTATCCCGAGAGAGCGAAGGATGCCAAGTCCCGGGCAAATTTGCCAGCGAGAGAGGTAAGTTCACCGAGCCCATGGGCACAAGACGAAGATACAAGATCCAACGAACGCGCTCTGTACGTGAATAAAGACGGTCACGCCCTCCATGGAACATGCCAAACTTAAAACCAGAGTACGCTCGGATGCGATAATCAAAGAAGAGGAAAAGGTCCCGTTGAACCATAGATTTCTTGGAACCGTCCCGAAGAAATATATTCCGTCACTCCTGAGAATATATATTCGACTTGAACAAACTGGAATAAAAATCGGACGCGACGTTACCTCGGAATTGTGACAATTTATTCGGGCTCATTCGAGTTAAATAATTATTCTTCAAATTGACGACACTTTTGTTTGGGACTATTCGAAAAACTCGTTTTTTTTTTTCTTTTATGGGTCGATGAACTTTGGTTTTTCGGTACAGCCTGAGGGAACGCCGCTTTAATTATGGCCCCGAACCAGACGATGCACGAGAGAGAGAGACGGACAGACGGGGATTGAGACCCACGGATCACGAGAAGAAAAGAGAGGGAGGAACGCGACCGCGAGTCGACCGGTACACCTACCCCTGGCAAAGCCGGAGTCGCGAGGGTCCGCCCGCGCCGCCTCGCGGTCGCCGTCTGACGGTCCGCCCAGCGCGGCGGTCGTATTTCCCGAGAAGCGCGGGGAAAGGGGGGGGGAGCCCCCCGAGCGGCGAGCCGGCCTGATTCGCTTCCGCGTTCCGCCCGACCGTAACGACCGCGCCGATTTAATTTCCCCCTTCGTTAGCCCGGCCCCCGGCGCTCCCCGGGCAATTCCGCGCGGAAAAGTCGCGGCCCGGAGGGGTCGGCGCACGCAGCCGAGTCGGGTCCAACCTCCCCCCCTTCGCAAAAAACCCTAAACGCTACGTGTGCGCCCCCTTCTTTTACGATGGCGGCCCATCGCCCGCAGATTGCGATTCGCCACGGGCGTAATGAAGCCGCGCGCGGCCCTTCCGCTCCGGGCCGACCGGTCGCCGCCGCGCGACCGGACGAAAGGACAACGCCACCGCCGCCGCCGCTCGAGAAACCGCCGACGGGGCCCCAATAACGCTACTTTATTGCGCGCGTCGCCGGGTTTACGGGGCAAGAAAGGGAACCCGCGTCGCGGAATAAATTCCGCGGCCCCGTAAGAGTCGCGCGGACGCGGTCATGGCGATATCTTGGGATCACCCGGCCGCCGCGATGATCGCGAGCCACATCGATGACGGATTGCCTCAATTCGCGCGACTGCTCGCGACTGCTCGCGACTACTCGCGACTACTCGCGACTACTCGTGACTACTCGTTACACACGCGCGACGGCGAGAGGAAAGGACCCGGCCCTTTCGGCGAGTCGGCCCGCTCGCCGCCGGTTGTCGGTCTTTACAATTTAGATGACGCTCGCTTTTTCTGCGCGACCCTCCCCAGGGCCGGTGCACCTCCTACCTCCCTTTCCGCTGCGTTTATACACCACGCGGATACATAATGCAAGCCGCCGGAGGAGGCGGTCTTGCAGCTCTGCGGCAAACTACACAATACTTCGGTTTTTTCTTTTTTTTTTTCTTACGAGCGCCCCTCTGTCGCCGGCGTCGCGTCGGTCGCGCCCTGTTGTCGCGACGCCGCGCAATAAGGATTCCGACGTCACTGGGGGGGTTAAGAGAACGAAGGGGGAAAAAAATGTAATTTTTGATACTCCGCCCGTCACCCTCGATTTTCTCTCGATCTAGGTTCCCTGCCCTGTGCAATGAAATTCATTGAACCAAGGAAATATTTTGTACATTCAAGGAACCCGAATAATTATTCGACCCGAATTAACTTGTCAAACAAATTGTCATGGTCCCGAAAGAACGTTGCGTCCGATTTATTCGAGTTTACTTCAGACAGATAATTACTCTTTGAATTAACGAAATATTTCATTGGTACTAGTGGAAGAGGTATCTTTCTGGTTCGATGGAATTTCTTCTCTCAGGGGGGAATCTGGCGGAAGGGACGGGGCAAATGGTGAACTTACATTTAGGGAGTGAGTGAAAAAAACGTGCGGGGAAAGAAAAATATAGAGCGAGAGGGAGTCGGCCTGCCGAGCGGTGGCACTTAAAAGGGCCATTTCTTCTTCCCTATCTCGATCTCGACGGTAGCGGGTCGTTATGGACTCTCTCTCTCTTTCTCTCATCCAGAAGTCTCGAAGGTCCCTCGGGAACCGCGGGAGGATGGACGTTATTGCCGCGTCCCGGGTTCTAATTACCGTCCGCGAGGTCGCCGCAGGTTCCGCGGTCGCGTTTCCGCGTCGAGGGATTATAATACATATATGACGCATTATGGGAAGCACCCGGCCGAGTGATATAACTCATAAAAGTATACGCCGCCCAAAGTCGCCAGAAACGGGGGGGAGAGGATTTATTCCTCAGGGAGACGTTTTACGGGAAATTTCGTGGGAAGGGCACCTCAGCGTTCAAGGAGCCAAAGATGCATAGAGGTTTGTAGAAATGGGGGAGACATTGCTACAGTACGTGCATACGTTTAGGTGTTAAAAGGAAGTTAGCCAAAGAGAGGGATCTCCCCTCTCTAAGCGTTACCTGCGCATACACCGAGAAAAAAAATAATTGGTTGACTGAAAGAAGTGCTCATTGCTACAACAAAATCCTGTGAGATTAAATACGTCCAAAGGAGAGTCAGGAAGTGCGAACAAAATTCGTTTAAATCAATGATATAATTTTCCTTCTCGAGGAAACAAATGTTTTCGGCAATTATATATGATTTAGGCAAGAACATATGTGTCAACAATAATTATTTGTTTCAGGCAACTGATCCTTTTTTTTCAGAGTGGTATGAGCGCTGGAAAGATGTTGGAAAGTACTCACCAGCGAGTCCACCTCCGGATCGGCGATGTAGTAGGGCTTTTCCTGTCGGATCTGCAACACAAGCAGGCGCACACTTTAGTAATTAGATCTCTAGGTAATTACTATATTAAGGGAGCAAAGGAGCGCCTCGAATCCTTATCGCCTCGGGCGATTTCCCTCGCGTGCTACCGAGTAAGTGGGCCCAGATTCTCGATCGGGCCCAGATTATCTGGGAGGGGCGGGATAGGGGAGGGATGGTCTGGTCCTCTGGGATGCTGGGTACCTCACGGTCGCCGGGTCGGATTCATTTATAGGAAAACGAGGTATTTGCAACCATCTGCAGCCTTAAGGGGATGTGAAAGTGGCATCCGAAAGCTCAATCGTTCAAAAAACTTTTCTACGAACTACGTGTCTCAAATAGTTTCATACTTTAAAACCTGAATATGGAGACCCTAAGGTAGGTCCTGAAACTCGCGAAATTTAATTTTGTATAAACTATTTTTAAAATACCTATAAACAAATTTGAAAAGAATTGAAATTTCATGAGTTTCAGGACTTTCCTTATAGTGAGCGAGGGATTATTCACTCAGGAATTCATGGATTTTAGTGCCCGAAATCGCGATCAGAAATCACTAGAAATTCGTTGGAAATCACTGAAACATTCTCAGCATTTTAAGATCAATCGTCACTTGTTACCGAATGACGTTGCTTGTCATTAAAAAAAAGTCAAAGGTAAATCGGTTATTAGAGAAAGAAATCGTTTTCACCGATTTCCGAGTGTGCGGTCCCTCGGTTCGTGAGTCTTGCGCGATGCTCCCACCGAAATTGAGAAATCCCGACCTTTTTGCCGGGCGCGCTCGTTTTCGGCAGCGTTTCCCTCGCGCCATCCCATATAGGTAATGAAGGTGTCTTCCATGCCGCGCAAAAATACTGTCAACCTCGCGAGCTGAGAGGTACGAGCGAGTTCTTGCCGCGGAGTCCCGGTCGTCCGTGTTTTTCGACGGTCCCCGAGCGCCTTACGATCGGTCCCGGACATTGCGATTACAAATTGTAAGTAGCCTCCCTCTATCATCCGCGGCAACTGTGACATCGGCAGCGACATCGCCGGAGGAGTGCCCCGAAAGACGGACGGAGAAATTCCGCTCCCTCTCCTGTGGGAGCGGGGCGCGCCCTCGAAGGTTTCCCTGGGAAAGGGGCCTAAACGGTGAACAGCTGTTCGGGCCTGGCGGGAAAGCGGGCCCCTCGATCCTATGGGCCCTACGGGTCCTATGGGCAAACACTGGGCCCGGTCGGATGCCGATGTGCTTCGATAACGCGCGGAACGCGTACCTGCTCCAGAAGAGATAAGCGCGGCGGTACCAGGGATCTACCGCACCCCGACATCCAGTTTAAAGAGAAATAACGAATAAAATGATATTTCAGAAAGATACTTGAAACGTATCCCTCGCTGCCCTTAACTCCACACCTCACCGAGTTATTTAAAGAAATAAATAAAAATGATGAGTCAAAACGTAGCTTAAAAGGAGCCATCACCTGTATCCCTTAACAACCCTTCCTCTTTCCAACCTGTCGCACCTCGACTTATTTAAACGGAAATAGATAAGAGTGGAAGGTACTATTTCCGATTTCCGATAAGTATATCGCAACCAGAGGATCGGTCTCAGCGATAAACCTCCCGCCCTGGTGCATCGGGGTCAAAGTTGGAGAGGACAGGCAAGGGGTCGAGAAGAGCGACAGTTTCGTCCCGGTTTTATCCGGTAAGCGTCCTCTCGACGAGACCGCTAACCCCGGTACGCGGTAAAACAATGGCCCTCCCTGTCGTAACCGAGCGGTGGCGATGGTTAGAGAGGCGCAGGGTAGGTAGGAAGGTAGAGGTAGGTAGGCAGAGGTCGGTCGCCCGAGCTCCGCCCGGGATCCTCCGGCTCGTAAACCCGAGGGGCCCCCGACTCGTTGACTTTCCCCGAGACCTTGACTTCGTGGCTGAGACCTCGTGCCGGAGTTTGCTCACCCCCGAGCGGTCTTAATCGCGGCCGTAAAATTTTCGCGAGGACCATTCCCGGGGTGCGACGCACCCCCGACTTCCTCTCGGCTCGAACACCCTTGACTCCTGGCCAGGAGAATGGAAAATCTACCTCGACGCGTGCATCCGCACTGAGAAAGGAAATTCCATTGAACATGAGAAATATTTCTTCGAACGGTCCCAAAGAAATGCTTTATCAGTTGAAAGAATAATTATTCGACTCCGATGAACTCCAATAAATTGGATGCAACGTTTCCTTCGAATTATGTCACAATTTATTCGAGTCAACTAATTATTCTTCGAATTAACAAAATATTTCATTGCTTCAATGAAATGTTCTAAGGGTAGGGACGCTTCGACTAGAGTTACTCGCGCTAATAAAGATGCCCACGTAAATTGACATAGTCGATCGTTGGTTATTTCGGTGTCATAATAAATTCCAGTAAAAAAGTTACCCCCTCTATATCTAATATCGCATACGGCATCTAAGTTAACGAAAATTATAACGCACTATTACACCCAATACAAGTTAAAATGTACCGATACAGGAAATACACGTTGTATTACCTATATTCATACATTATCCATCTTTTAAATTCCTTCACTTTAATTTTCTCCCCGTGAAGCTTCAATTACGGAGGGTATCAAAATGCATGTCAAATTCCCATAGATCTTTTTACCAGCGCGAGATCATTACCATCTCGAGTCAGGACTCGAGTCAACCACTCGATTAAAAACTAGAAACCTGGCCACATACCTTCCAGTCGAGTCAACGAGTAAAACGACTCGAAATACCACGACTGGAATAACCGAATAACGCTTGGTATCTCAAAACAGGTAGATGGCTCATTTACTCTCAAACAGGTGTAATTCGGTATCATTCCAATTAAATTGGTTCTATAACTCGAGTCACGATGAAAACTCATTGAAGTTGACTCGAACACCCGCTAGACTCGATTGATACGAGTCGTCATATTCGAGCCATCGCATCCCCAGCCGGCACATCCGAGTTCATATCGGAGGGGAGGGGGTGGAAGACAGAAGCACAAATAGGGAGCGCTAATAAGCCCGGTGTTTGCAATAATTCCTCGATAATAGTTTGACGTCATCCGGCGTCGGAACCGGTCTCCGCGTCCCGGCCGATCGCGCGGCGGCGCGTCTCGATAAGCGCGCGTCCACGGCGCGCGCCCTCGCTAAACGGCTCATTTATTAATCCGAGTTGGTACTCGCGTCACGGAGCATACGACTGGGGGGGAAGGAGAGGGGAAAGAGCGGCCCAGCGTTCCGCGAACTCGGATCGGTAAGGACGATCGTCCGTCACTCTTGAAGGAGGAGGAACGAGGTTAATCGGTCCCGAATCGAGACCCAAAGATCGTCGACCCGGCTCGTTCTTCGACTTTTAATCGGGATTCCGGGAGGTTCCGGTCGTTGTAGATGTGGGGGGAGAAGGGAGTAGGGGAGAGGGATAAGGAATCGAGCGCCGAAACGGGAAGCGAGTCGCGTGGGACCCGCTCGAGAGGAAAGCCCGGACTTCGTCGCGTCGTCCCGGGCGGATGCCGGGCGAGGGAGAGCGAGCGAGACGGACGTAGCCCAGGGACCGGGGGCGCGAGAGAGACCGCGAGGCGACGTCGGACGGCGGGCCGCGAACACGGCCGGCGCTATCGCGATTATGATAATCCGGCTTTGCGGCTGTTTGCGCTTTCTCGCGGCGCTCGCCGAGGAAGGGCAAGAGACGGCGCTAGGGGGCCCGCGAGAGAAAGAGGGAGAGAGACAGATGGGGGGGAGAAAGAGAGCGAGGCGCTCGTCCGGACGATCCGGCCCGTTTCACGTGGGTTTAATGCCCCCGAGGTGTACTCTAATTGCGCCAATAAATCGCGCCAAAGGGGAGACAACGGCGAAGTGGCCGCAGCCGAGTTCTTCCCCGGGCCCGGTGGGGCGCCCCCCGCGGGAGTCGCGACCCGCCCACGCGTCAGTCGGGCGGGAGCCCCCGGAGGGGACGGTCGCCGCCGAGCGGGGGCTCCGAGCCGAACCCGCCGGGCTCGACCGACCGGACCGTCCGAACTCCGCCGAGGAGGAGAGAAAGAGAGAAAGAGAGTAATCGAAAAGTCGACGCGACTTATCGGACACCGCCGGAGTCGCTGACCGGGGACGGATAAGCGCGCGCAGCCTGGATTTCGAGCGGCCGATAAATCCGCCGGAAACTCGCGGGTTTATTTCCCTTTTTTTTTCGGTTCCTCCGACAGGGGGAGGGCCAAAGTTCCCGCGTTCCGTCCGAGGTTGCCGGGTTTCGGCGCGGAGGGGACACAATAGGACCCGGAGGGGGTCGCGATCCCCGATTCCGCGCGCGCGACGCTTCGCCGCACGAAAAGTGGGCCGTGGCGCGTCCCGGGCGGCGGCGCGCCGAAAAAAGGACAACAATGCGCGCGCGCCCGTGAGCCCAGCGGGATACTTTGTGCCACGTCGGAGGCACTCGCCCGGCGAGGCCGGATCGACGGACCCATGCCGTCTCCGGGGTTCTTGCGCGCTGCTCGCTGCTGCGGCCTCGCCCCTCCCCACGCCTCCCCCCGGACCCGACGGGATAATGGTGGGCCCATTGAATAGATCAATTTACAATGGCACAAAATGAGCAGCGCGCTCGCTCGCTCGCCCCCTCTCTTCTCCCCTTGCTGCCCCTCTTGGCCCGCCGCGCGGCTGCCGTCCCGCCGCCCCGCGGCGCGACCGCCCGGGCGCGACTGCGAGCGCGCAACGCGCAGCGGCGCGCCGTGTGGGTCGAGACCGAGTGCCCGGATTTCTTTTTCTTGTTTTTTTTTTCCATATCCGAGCCATGTCGTCACCTTTCGCCACTAGATGTCGCCAAATCGGAGCTAACCTCGCCCGGTGATAAAGTTAACCCGGGCGTCAGTAAAAGTAAAGCGATGAAGGTGGAAACGATAATAATTAACCCGTGAATACAACAATCCTATTCCAACTGTACACATCCGCTGCATATCGAGATGATAATCCCAGAATTTTTATTAAATCAACTTGAAATTCCCATCCATCCGGGCACTACTACGGGCAGTTTGAGATTTTGACATAACAAAATTACAAATCTTTGAATGTTCAATTTCAGCAGTGTGACTAGGTTCACTCGTCCGTGAGTCTGGAGTCATCCGAACGCGGATCGAGAAGGTAAAGTAATCTTCGACCAACTCCAGGTCGCCGATAAGAGGACGCCCGCGGAACGGCGGGAGGCACGTGCCGAGACGTCCGCACGGTGCGTCGCGGCGATTATCGAATCGCCGGCTCGACACGCGCATCGCGGGCCCCGATCGATCTCGAACCACGGATGAATCAACGATAATGCCCCCCTCCCCCTCTGAATTTCATAACGCCGACGTTGGACTCCGCTTATCAACGCGCGGCCGGTGGGCCCGAAACCTCTCCTCCTTAAATAGTATCGTCTCTATCGGGCCGGCGAAAAAGAAGTAAAAAAAGAAAAATGGAAAGAAATTCCCCAGCTCGCAATCTAAAACGTACAATGATATGAAAAACAAAATCCGCGAAATCCTCCACTCTCCCATCGACCCCGCTTGTCTATCACTAGCGACACCTCAGGGAAAGCGCGAGCGCGACCAGCGGTCAATCGCCGATGACTAAAAATAATGATCGCGAGGGAAAAACCGCCGATAGGAACACGTCACGCGATCATGCGAGCGATATATAACATTCGTGTCGATGCCCGAGCGGAAAGAAAGAGAAAGAAACGAGGGGTAGGAGGGGGGCGGAAGAGCCGACCTTATCCTATCCTCGTCGAGGCTTAACTCTTATCGTTATCTCGGCCCTAACGCTACTCCGAGAGACGCCGCTACCGCGTTGCCGTAACCTCGCATTCTTTTCCAAGGAGAGAAAGAGACACCCACAGAGAGGGGGTAGAAAAAACAGAGAAAGAGGGACCGAGACAGAGCGAGAGAGAGGGAGAGAAAAAAATTCCTCCGCGCCGCGAGAAAGTCGAGATTTTCCACGCGAGAGCGGCCGACGTACCTGCGCATGCGCCGCGGCGTAAAATTAGGTTGCCGCACGAACCGAATATGCATGCATATATATATATATATATACATATATATAAAGCATGCGTACATACAACACACGTATACGCATAATATACAAGGAGGGCCAGGGATCGCGGCCGATTTCCTAAATTCCTCCGAGGAAGGAATCCAGGTGGCGTGCACGCGCGCACGCGGCCGAAACACGGCACGGACAAGAGGCGGGGGAAAGGAGAGAAGTTAAAAAAAAAATAAATAAAAAAAGAAGAAACCTAGTAGGGGGGAGGGGGTGGTCGAGCCTAGCCGAGTCGGTCCTAGCGGCGTGCCGGGCGTCTCGGGTTACCCGAAGGAGTCCTTGAGGAGCGCCGGGGAACTTGAAATCCCGAAATCCAGAACGGAGTGGCTCCTTCCCCCCCCCTCTCAGTCCCCCTCGACGTGAACTCGGAAATCAAGAAGATATCCGTGGCGCGATCCACGAAGAGCCATCCAACATTTTTAGCGAAAAACGTCCTCCTAGAGGGAGAGAGCGAGAAGAAAAGAAGAATAACACGGGGGGGGATGAGGGGTGAGGGGTGAGGGGTGAGGGGTGAGGAGGAGGACTCAACCCGGCGAATCTCGCCGGATGATGTTTCCCCCGGGTGTATGCAAATCGGACCGCGGTCCAGGACGTGGGAATTTTCGGGGGAGAAGCGCGAGTCCCGGGAGCGGAAGAACCGGGGTGGAGAGGGGGGTCTCTCTCTCTCTCTCTCTCTCTCTCTCTCTCTTTCTCTCTGCGGGGTCCCTCGAGAATTCTTCGCGAGGCGAAGCGAGTCCAAAAATACGAGACCCCAGCGCGCATTCCTCGGGTCCATCGGCCCAAAACGTCCTCCTCCCCCCAAAGATCGTTATCCCCCCCCCCCTCCCCCGGGTCGTCGCGGGTTTCCTCTCGCAGGAACCCGCGGGAAATCGGCCGGGGAACGTCCCGGGAATAATACTTCCCCGGACGAATTACACGCGCGAGCGTCTTCGTAGATCTCCGGTATACTCGAGAGGAGACGCGCCGCGGCAATAATCAAGACACACGACCGCTCGACGACAGCTTTGATGCATGGAACCGCGGCTACGCGTTATCATACGTAAGACGAAATTACCGGCCGCCGAAGGTGGTGGCACCGGCACTCCCGGCCTCGGCGTCGGAGTCGGAGTCGCCGAAGTACCCTTCCATCGAGATTAATCGCGCGGGAGTAGATTTTTTTAGGAGGGCAGAGAAGTGGATCCTCTAGGAGGGGAGAGGAGGCCCATGAATATGAGAAATTTCGAGAACGCGGCGGCGACCGGGCGGGAGCAGGGGACAGGGGGCAGGGGAGAGCAGAGAGACGAGGGGGCATTATCGATATTTTGGAAACGTAGAGGAGTGAAATTTTCGGAATTGAAAGGGATGACGAATTTATTTAGTCTCGCGCAGGGTTGGGCTGATTTAAATCATGACGATCAAAATCGATGATTTCAATGAAATGACTTTTTTTTTGGTTGTATAATCACAATCTTTCTTAAACGGTTTGAATACTGCAGAGCGTGATCGCCCTGTTTGCGCTGTCATGTCGAGAAGACAAAGATTAAACGTAGATTAACTGTTAACTATAATGCTTACGGAATTTAGATGCTTTTCGATTGCCCGGTCTATATTCATATCGATTGACCGTACAAGCCTGTAGAAAGGAAATATTTCTTTAACACTTCTGCAGATGAGGGTATAACGCACAAAATGAGAATTGTCAGATCGTGGCTCGAATGTTCTCGGATTGAGGAAACAATCTTTGAGTAATATCGATTTAACCCAGTCTCTTGAATGAGTTTATTTAAATGATTAAGCTATTAAAGAGAAATCGTGATTTTAACGAACGATTTTTAGATATATATCTTTCTTGCAAAGAAGAGGAAAGTTAAGCAGCTGGCGGCGGAATTTGCCGAAATGACGGTCCGGTTTGACGGGTATAACTTGTCAAACGCAGTTAACTGGTTAAGGGGAAAGGGACGAGTCGAGATATCGGTCGACCTGCGACCTGCAAGGGTGGCGATGATTCCTCCTAGAATAAAGAACACTGGATAGTTGGTCAATCTCGCGGCAGGAGGGGACAAGACGCGTAGACGGGAGTTGATTCGAGTCGGCGAGAAAATATGGTGGCCGGAGGTGCCAAGAGTGGCGGGGCACAATGACTCCCCCCGTGTCGCACCGTCCCCGGACACACGGCGCAATTACCGCAGCGGAAACGACTCGCGTCCCTGCCGAGGAATCCCGGGGAATCGGCCGGCCGGGATTTAATTATGGCACGTAACACGTGTCCATCGGCCGGTGCTTTTTTGCCCAGATTCCTCATGGCGGGAGGTGAACGAGCGGCAGGTCAGAGCGGACCCGAGCGAAGGAGAGAAGAGAGGAGAGAAAAGGAATGAAGTGAAAAGGAAAGGGGAGGAAAGGAGAAGAAAAAAAAAAGAGAAACCAGGAGAAGAGTTCGAGACGGGTAGGCGAACCCAGAACCGACCCAGTCCCTTCTGGTACTGGAAACGGTACGTATACGTTGAATTAGGAACCCTCTGTACCCAGCGACGCCGTCGTCACAACTTATTATAAAACTAAGGCCACGCGAGCGTCAAAAACGCTACTACGAGCCATAACAACGGCGATGCACGCTGGGACATGTCTCCAACGGATCGCGATATCTACGAGAGAGAAGGAATGATCGGGAAAACCGCAAGAGTAGTAATCGCTACCATAACGCCAGCATGGCGACATGTAATCTTCCCAGATCGTGGCAACCAGCCTAACATAGCAAAAGAGCGAAGCAAAAGTTACGTCCCCGTCTAATCGAGACGACTACAAGGTTCAGCCCGTCGCAACATTGTGCTTATCTTGGCTTCTTTGCATAGATGATATTGTCATGCCAAGTGACGATTTTCGTTCCGACATTGTCATCGCGTCAACTACTGGCAAGGTTACATTTACGATTAAACTCGACAAGTTTCCTTGGTCACGGAATATATAGCAGCAAAATATTCCAACTACCCCCGGCTGTAGTAATTGCGATCAAATTTCATTATTATGCATGAGCTTGATCATCGTACTTATAATTCTAATTACAGACGCGTAATAGTGAAATTTGACCGCAATTACCGTAGCTCAATGTAGCTGGAATATCTTGCTATTTATTATTTTCTACCCTGCTAACAGATATTCGTTTCCTTTTACGTCCACGCGGTACGTAGCAACGGACGTCGTAGCTACCTTAATCCAAGGAAGTGCCTTGAAAAAATCGCCTCACCTGTTTGGAGAAGACGGCGATGTCCTCGTTGAAGCTCTCCGACGAGCAGACGTCGCCGCCCGCGACTCCGGGCTCCCTGGGTGTGCAGGTCGCCAGCTCGCACTTCTCGAAGATCAGCGCGAGGAGCGGGAACAGGGGGTGTCTGCAAATGAAAGAAAGACCCAGGTGTAGCGGTACCGCAAAACGGTCGTTCCATTTCTCGTGCCGAAGGTGGAGGAGAACCACGAAGAGGACGCGCGACGCGAGGTGGACCTCGGCGAGCGCCGAGTGGCGGAACGATCGCGCGGATAATTATCGTCATCGGGCCTCTTCTGCTTCCTTTTATCCCGGGCTTCCCGCGAGAGTAACCACCGCCGCCTGTTAGTGCCACGAGGACGCAATTAACTCGGACAACCGGGCATAAGAAGCGAAATTCAGCGTGAAGCGTCCAAACGAAAAGCAGCCGCGCCGCTTCTGGCCCCTCTTCCTCGGCGCGCTCTCGAGAACCCGACCTCGGCCAACCCGGCGACGTTGAAGAGGATCCCGAAGTAGCGATGAGCAAAATCGTTCCTTATCTTGGTCTTGCAAAACGTGCAAGACCAAGACCCGACCATGTCGCCGGGTTTCAACGCGAATATTCCAGATCATAGTACCCTGGCCTTGCATTTGCTCGCTTTTTCCAAGACCAAGACCAGGACCAAGGCTCGGCCGTACTTAAGAAGACAAAAAAGGCTCGTCCTTCGTCGTCTTTTTCGAGATCTTCGAGAGTTTCTTTGAATATATCAAAACGTGAAGATACCGATAAAGCTTCTCTTCAAAGAAGCTCTCGAAGATCTCGAAAAAGACGAGGAAGAACCCGAAATTCGTCCACTCTTTTCGCAAGGGACGCCAAGCCGTCGGTTTTCGGCCACGACGGCGACCTTCGCGTCGCCTCCGCGAAGAAGATCCCGGTCAAGGGGAACGGGAGTCCCGTAAACGCGCGCGTTCCGCATGTGGGTGACCCACATACGCGCGGGGCGGTGCGCGCGGCCGCTACGCGCGAGGATCACCGGATAAGCCGCGAGAGATTAGACGGGCTCTCGATCCGAGAGCGCGCATTTACGAGCTCTCTCTCTCTCTCTCTATGTCCCGGACGCTCCCGATAGTTCCGCATACTTCCGCGAGTAAACGCACGCACGCACGCACGCACGCACGCATGCACGACTCCCCATCCCATCTTCGTCGACGTCGATCTAATCAGCGACCCGATAGAGTATCACGCCAAGTGTAATTTACATCCTTCAAATACAATATATATANATATATACATTCATAGATTTAACGTGACCTATTCACCTGAGAAACATCGAGAAATGTGTACTAAAAGCAATTTTTTAATTCTCGGCAATTCTCGGCTAGGTACTCTTAGACCAAACATTACGTTTCACCTGCCTGGCGCCGTAGTCGATTAGAATATAAACAAAATCTCAAATCCAAGGGATATTTCTTGAGTTCGAATTCGAGCTCTTTTATAATCGATCTCCGGGCAATACTGGATGTAGCGGGACCCAACTGCGGATATAAATACGAATGCCGGTTGAGATAGGTATATACCGGTTAAGAGAATTCCCCTTTTATCGGCGTGGATTAAATTCCTCGGGGTCTTTCGCGTCGCCTTAATGTAGCGAAATATATTAACCGGGGATGGTTTGCACCTTCTGGGAACCATTCGACGACGAATCCGTCGCGGGGCCTTGAGGACCTTGAGGACGTAAAGGGCCGGCCGATTCTCGTGCCGATGTGTGTCGATGTGTGGATATATGTGGATATGTGTCGATAGTGTGTGGCATATCTCGACGCGTGTCGATGTGTGCGCAAGGTAGCGGGCCGGGCAGGTCACGCAAAACGAATCGAAACGAATTTCGACAAATTGACGGAGCCCGCCGCCGCCGTCGTCGCGACGACCTCGCCAACCGGGCTGCGCAAAGAAAAGAAGGCACGGTTTTCGGTTTACACCCAGAGGTTTCTCTCCTATGCCGGATAACGCAGGAGAGACAACGAGGGGATCGGCCGAAAACCGGCGCCATTTATCGGCGCTGCTTTGCCGGAGAGCACCAGCGAGGAGGAAGAGAAAGAGAAAGAGAGGGGAAGCAAGCCTCATCTTGGGTTTCACCGGCGAGGCCGGTGCACGCGCGTAATTCGCGCATCGCCATTAGAGAGCCTCCTCTCGCCGGGGAGAAAATAGTCCACCTAGACAGGTCTGGCCGGTAATACTCTCTCGAGGATGTCTCGCGAGAAGGAGCGCGCACGAGAGAGACCGAGGTACGGAAAGGGAGGACCGTAACGAGCGGGAAGGTGAACTTCCGCCGATGGCAGAAAGGAGAGGGTCCAACAAGGGGGGTTCCGGTTTTCTCGTTGCCCCCCTCCCTCTATTGGAAAGGGAGTTATCCATCTAAGGGATGAGAATCGCGAATCGGAGAAAACGTACCGTGGAGGTGACGTCGACGAGGAAGCGCGTCGCGCAGTTCCTGAGAGAGCTGCCCACGATTTCTCCGAGCGCGAGAGAGACGGACGCATCGGGCGTGCGGCGAGGGCGAGAGAGAGGGGACTACCCGCACCAGCGCGCGCGGAGCAACGCGATCGGTATCGCCCCCTATATCGCCGAGACATCGACGAAAAGCGAAGACACCGATTAGAGGGACGGCCAATTAATTACCGGCATTTTCTATCCGTCTAATTAGGACGGTCGATTGCGCCTCGCGCCTGCACCTACGGTCGCGACGACGGCGCAACTTCCAGAGTTTATCCGGGAAGGCATCGGGCGTCCCCCATTCGCGGCAGATGCTTCCCGTCGAGTAAATTATTCTACTCTTTGAAGAACAGACGACCGGCCAGGCGCTAAACTTCAAATTGAGCTTCAAATAAACCCAAGACTATTCCAGGGTTTTTCTGCACGAGACACCGGATACCGGGATAAAGTATCTCCGTAAAGGTTCAGCGGATCCATCCCAGAATGAACAAAATGTCATCCACGGCTCGCCCGATACCGGCGATCACGTCGGCTCATCTCAGTGTCTGGTCAACGAGATCGTCCGAGCTCAAATCGGACTCCAAATGAACCCCAAGATCATCTCTACGTTCTTCAACCCGGGGCACAAGACACAAAGAGAAAGTATCTCCATCAAAGTTCAGCGGATCCATCTCCTAACGAAGAAAAACCCCTGCTTAGTGATTCCCATCCACGACTCGCCCGATAACGGCGATAACGGCGGTCCATCTCGGGGTCTCGTTAACGCGGCGCGGTATTACGGTCAAGCAGGAGCACGGAGAGAAGCCGGTCAGTGGGACTCGACCCTCTTCGCGGAATCGGGCGATTTTTGCGGTCTAAAACAGTCCCCGCCGGAGGATTCCGCGACATCTCCCTTCCGCCGCGCGTTTTTCCGGGTTTCCGGGTCGTCGCCCCCTCTCCGCTGCCCCCTCCTCGCGCGTGGGAACGCGTGGGCACGGGAATATCCCGAAAAGAAATTCCCGACCTCCTTCCGTAGGTCGCAAAAAGCTCGCTTATCCTGGCCGTCCCCGTTCGCGTTATCCGCGCTCGCGGTTCAGCGACGCGTAAAAAAGAGTCGATAGCGCGCCGTGCGGCCGATAAAGCGCGGTGCGCCGATTGACGGCCGGGCGAAGGTGTCAGGACGGGACGCGGGACCACCGCAAAGGTAACGATATGATTGGGCCGTTCAGAGCCGTTGTTTGGGGTGCGGTGCGGTTTTTGCGGTTTCCGCCCGCGGCGCTAGCCAGGCGCGAAAACGACGGCCCGACGCCAGGCCGGGGTCGACTCGCAACGAGGTGTCGCGACCTGTCGAGCCTTTGCAAAAGAGAGAGAGAAAGAGAGGAAGGGGGGCAGAAAAATTAAAGTGGAGCAAAGTCGAGGGAGACGAAAAAAAAAACCGAGGCTCGTCGTGAACGGAATTTGCGGCGCGTCTCGGCCGGTCCGAACAAACCGGGCCGGAAGAGCCAGAAACGAGGGCCGCTCCCTTTGATCCTCATTAACCTCGTCGCCGCGAATCTGGGTCGCACCTTTTACGGAACAATTAAACGGCCGCGGCGGCCCTTTTTACGCGGCGCGTCGACGCGGACGCGGATCGGCGCGACGGGGAAGATTAAAAGGCGAGAAGCGCCGTTTGGTCGGTAAGAAAGGTAGGTTGCATATACCGCGCGATTACGGCCTAACAAATGTGTGGAATTATTTATTCCACGGTGCAGATGAGTCGACGAAAGCCGCCGGAGGGGTGCGAAGAGGCAGAGGGAAAGAGAGAGAGAAAGGAATGCGAGGGAAAAACGGGAGAGAAGGTCCCGCTTACAATAGTCTCGTTCCGATCCCTATCGGTCCACCGGGCTGACAATCGACGCGCTCTCTCATCCCTTTTCCTGGCGATAGGAATCGACCGGCGAGAGAAACGTCGCGGACGGATTCGAATGCCAGACTCGGATTCCCAGGGCCGACCTTGGCTCTCCTCCCTCTCGTCATCTCTCCGAGACTCTGCGTCGGGCTGAGGGTGCCACGAGTCGAACGTTTCGACTCGTTAAAATGGAGTCAATTCCAGTCGATGGAATTTGACTCGTTGCGTCCCTACCCTCGACGAACATTTTATGATGTACAGCTCGAGTCCAAATTCGAGGTGACGACGTGTTTGACTCGTCGCGTCGGTACCCTCAACGGCGAAAAATTCGCGTCGCAAAACTAGAGTCAACAACATTTTTGAATTCGAGCAACTCAATACTACATTCGACACGTCGCCTCACAATATTCGACGATTTCCCCCGCTCCCTCTTCGCCGTCCTCTCGATCAACGCGTCGACGATCTTGCGACCCCGAGGGCACCGATAAGCGATCACCGAAGAGACGCATAGGTGCACGAGTACATCGATACCACGACGCAAGCCATTACCTTCGAGCAGGTCCGAGTATAAATTAGGATTCGAAATAAGTCCCTCGGAGTCCCGCTCTCCACGTGTCCGAAAGGAAAGAGAGAAAGAGAGAGGGAGCGCGGACCCTTCCCAGAAGGAATACCCGAGCCGGGCACACGACGAGTGGACAAATTACAGGGTTGCCAAATATAATAAGCTTCCGTTCCGAGATGCCGGGAATCGGGGCATCCCGTTTGACGATAAATCACGCCGTGCGAACCGGCCGTAAAACGGCCATCGACGGGTCCCGAGAGTCCCCCGTGCCCCGGGTCTCCCGGGATACTAGGGGGGGGCCCTCGCATTCCCCTAAAACCCCCTAACCCCCCCCTGGAATACCCGCTCGACGACATCGCCCTCTCTCGGCCCGACTTACAAGAGACCGGCCTTGCTCGCCGGCGACACCTATCCCGGTGCCCGGATTTCCAACGAATTTCTTTCTCTTCCTCTCCATCACCCCTGACAGTCTCTCCGAGAGACAAAGAATGATATAACATAAAAAAATTACACAAACCCATAGCATGGATTTATTAAACAAACTCCTGTATGAATCTCGCGCCTCGGCGCGCACGGCGCGGTCGATGCCTCCGCGAGCGTTCCCCTTTACCGAGGCCCGTGCGATTTTTACCCAGCGCGCCCTGGCCCAGATTCCTATCGAGAACAAAGAGAGTGTATGGAGACGACCAGGACGCGCGACCGGCGCTCCCCCTGGAGAGCGCTCGTCCTGCGAGAAGAGGCCCGTGAAACGCTGTTTGAATATCCGCCTCTAGCGGTACCCCCCCGGCCGATAATAATATCAATATTCCAGTTTAGATGGATAATCCGGATAAAAAAAAATAAAAGAAGAAAAATAACAGCGATTTCAAGGGAAGAGGTTACTGCGGCAAAGTAGGCCTCTAGTGGCGAAGAGAAAATCGGAAGGCGTGTGTACCCTCCCGCGGGAACAGCGATCGCTCGCTCGGCCACGTTTTTACCGCAACTCCCCGGCGACTGGTCGCGCGGCCGCGATCGGTCGCGCGGGGCGAGGCCAAAGGAAGAGAAGAAGAGACTTACCCATAAATGGCGTCCTTGTCGCGCTTGTGGACGTCGGGGACGGCGGAGGCCGCGGCCGCCGCCGCGGCGGCCAGGACGTGCTGCGGCGGCTGGGGCGGGGGCGGGGGGTACTGGGGGTGGGCCGGCCCCATGCCCCCCAGGTGCGGACTATGGTGGAGCCCCGGGACACCCCTGGCGCTCCCGTGGGGGTCGTACAGGCCCGCTCCGCCGCCGCCGCCTCCTCCACTCTCCAGGTAACCCCCGTGCAGCCCGCCATCGTCGTACTGGAATCACACGAGCGGGGCAGACCCCCGCAGATTAATATCCAAGCTTAAATTAGTCTTAATCCTATCTGTATAGGAGAGGGGGAGGGGAGGAAGGAGGCACCGTCGACGTCCCGAGTGAAAACCCCGCGAAAATATAAGCGCAAGGAACGTAAGGTACCTTACCCCTGGAGACGCGCCCCGGACGGCTGCCCACGCGCAACTGCCCCCGGGGGCTGCGCGCCCCGAATATATAGGGGTCCGCGGCCGCGACGTTGCCACGACCTCCGCGTGGATTTATAATCGCACTCCATGCGGGCAATTAACAATAATAGTAATAATTCCCTGGACGAGTGGAGGACATAGGGGTGCTTCCGCATCCTGCGCAAACGATCGTGCGCCGAGGGTCGTCCGATTGGCCGTCACGAGGTGTCCCGATATTTCCCGAGGAAAAATCCACGACTCGCGTGACGCCGTGATTACGCGCCGAGCGAGGCGGTGCCGGAGGAGGAAATAGCGTTCACGGTCGACGGCGAAGATGTGTAAAGAGAAAGAGGACCCCGAAGAGCGGCGCGACGCGAGCTCGCCCGTCGCTCGTCGGCCAGTGGGGCGATCGAAAATGATGGATAGGGCCATCGACCGAGCTTTCCACCGGGAGTTCCAGCCGGCTACCTTCGCGCTCCTTTTTATCCGCCATTATCGTGCGTTCCCGTCAAAACCGCGTCTTTTCCTCGCCCCCGAGTCGCCGGCGGATCCCCCGGCTCTAATTATCCGACTACGTTATTACCGTCACTCCCGGGGAACAATAACACGTTATGTCGTTTACGAGACCCGGCATTAAGACGCCACGAGGACAGAGGGGAGAGGCGATTCGCGTGTCGCTCGGCCGAACGAGACCCCGACCTCCCAACCGTTGACTTTTCGGAGCCACTACCGGTCTGGTCCGAGGTCGAGAGAAATTCCTAGCGATCTCCAAATTATAGATAGGTACGAGGGATTATTCCCTCAGGGAATCGTGGATTTTAATGCTCGAAATCACGTGGTAATCGCAAACAGAAATCCCGGGAAATCGTTGGAAATCAATTGTCACAATTTTAAGGCCGAACGTCCCTTGTTACCGAATCACGTTGTTGTCTATCGTATGGAATATCGAAGGCGATCGATTTTTAAAGGAAATCGATTTCATTGATTTCGAAGTGAATGGTCCCTCGGATAGGTACGAATGACAAAATACACATCTGCCCCCCTCCCGAAAAACCAAGGGGACTCCATCGAGTGGCGATTTCGAAAAACTACAAAGAGGCGAATAACGAGCCTCGGTGGCAGGTTCGTAAATCAGGAGAAACTGCTCGGAAAGGGGAAAGGGATTCCCGAAAATGATGAATAGACCGGCCCTCCCTCTAAGGTTCAACACTTTGCACCTCTTCGTCCCCCACCAATCGGCGATTACCGCGACTCGGATTTCTCGCCCGGGCGATCCGATCTGCGTTTCCTGGCCGCTTTTCTAACGGCCGCGGATATACCTCCCAATTGACGCACAACGGCCAGGACTGGTAAATAGAACTGCAGAATATTTAAGGTGATGTGAAAGTGGCGTCAAAGAGATTTTATTTATAAAACTTTTCTCCCAACTCAATTTACCGAATAGGCTGAAACTTTACAACGTGAATAGGGAGACTATAAGGAAGGTCCTGAAACTCATGAAATTTCAATTCTTTTCAAATTTGTTTATAGGTATTTTAAAAATAGTTTGTAAAAAATTTAATTTCCCGAGTTTCAGGACCTATCTTAGGATCTCTATATTTGCGTTTTAAAGTATGAAACAATTTGAGACACCCAGTTCGTAGAAAAGTTTTATGAACGATTGAGCTTTCGGATGCCACTTTCATATCCCCTTACCATGTCTTTTACTTCTACGTTCGACTAGATCGACCTATCAGGTCGGCCGAAAGGTCCTGTTCACTTTTAACTTTCATTTCTGAGGTTTCAGAAAAACTCGCCGAGGTGTCGAGGACATTTTACCCGGATCACGGATACGTATGTTGACCGCGTCATTGACAGAAGTTCCGGTGCAAGGAGTAGAGATAAACGTCAAATGGGTTTCTTGTAATTAGGATGGCAAGGCTTTTTAGTGAACCCAGTCCCGTCGTGGTTAACGTTGGGTATCCGAGCACCGGCCGACGACGAAGATGCAAACCCAACCAAAACCGCGGCGGAAGTGACGCGCGTGATTAGGCGCGGCTCCGATTGGTTTTTAGTCGATCATTCGCGACGCGTCGACGCGCCGCACTCCGTGCGACACCGTCCGATGTAATGGCCGGCTTAACGCTCGCGCTTAATTTATGCGTCCGTCTAATATTCCGCGGCCTCCTCCGAATATTCCGCACCCACCTCCCGCGGCAGTCTTGCGGGAATGTGTATTCTTCTGGAGCGCGCGTTCTCCGGTACGAGTGTTTGCTCAAATGTCGCGGCCGGCCGAAAGCGTCGCCGCGCGTAAATCAACCCGGCGATTACGCTGTCATCGAGAGCTTGCGAAACACCCGAAACGATCGATAATACGCACGCGGTGAATTTCTGCACGGCGTCGCGACGCCGTCTCGGGTCGAGGGACGTCGATTTCGGGTGTGGCCCGACGTCGGACCGATAACGCACGTCCTGCCCCACGACGACCGCGGCTCCCACCCGGGACCCGCGGAAACGATTCCGCCACCTCGACGAGTCCAGTTACCGGTTATTACCTCGCCTTATCATTGGCGAGTAGGTGCGCTATCAGCGTGGTTGTAACCACGCCTGAATTCGCCACTCGTCGGGGATCGCCCCAAAAAGCCCACATGAAGGAAAGGAATCGTTAACACGCTTGAAAATGGCAGGATTATAAAAATATTTGAAAATAACGGATTAATGCTCAGAAGTGACCGTCACATCCGAGTTAAACCGGTTAAATTGAGTCGAGTGGAAAACGAATCGTTGACCGCGCTCGCAAATGACAAGATTAAAATGATAGTATTTGAAAATAATGGATCGGTGCTTAAGAGTGACCGTCACATCCGGATGGTGAAATGAACAAAAATAATATTTGAAAATAACGAATTAATGGTTAAGAGTAACCGTCGCGGCCGAGCTGAACCGGTTAAATTGAAACGGTGATAAATGGTACATTAAAGGGTTACCTCGAACCGACATTTATCGTGCAGAATTTAAACGAGTGCTTCTTCGTCAAGACAATTCGAGTTCCTCGGTTGTGACCAAGTTAAACGGGTTACATGTCCGCACGTGAGGTGGCCACTTATCGCAATTCACATTTTCACCCCGCCTACGGTAACCTAATAGTTCAGGTACCCAATCGGTTGGTCATTTTTAGTCACAAAATTATAGTCAAATTTAGTTTGTTAAGTACAACATTTGCAGGTATCAGCGATGTAACTTGACGACTTTCGGCAGAAAATTATTTGTATTCAACAAGTTCTCTCTCGAGAAGTACCTCGAGCTAGGGAAAAAAAATGTAAATAAATAATGGTAGTAAAAAAGGGAGGAATAAAACCCAGCCGTTCGCTCGAGACGCATGAGGATCGCCGGCGGAATCTCGGAAGGAGGGAATTAAACGCGCATCGGAGACCCAAGTATTTACAATCGCTAATCACCGGCAATACCGCGGGCTAATTTCCATCCGGAGAGCAGCGGATCCCGACCGCGACGCGTCCAAACCGCGAGGTGGTGTCCGCACGGCAGAGCAACGTCAAAAAGTATCGACCGCGCGACGTGACCAAAGTCGCACTTGGCAGCGCGGCCTGGCACGGCCGGCGGAGAAGGTGCGGATAACGCCGACAGCCAAGCAAGGAGAAACGCGTCCCGATGCATCTCTGGCCAGACGCGGCGATATTAAAATAAATATTAACGCGATAATCCCCCCGAGCTCGACTTGCGTTAGAATCGAGAAATTCACGCGGAAAAAAAAAAGGAATTCCGTTTGAACCAAGAGAATTTATTTTCCGCCTAGACCACGGCTCTACGAACTACCGAATACTCGTTTGACGGGACAAAATCCAATAATCAATAACCATTAATTTAACACGTAGAATATCACGGTGCGCCGCACCAAATATCGAAATGATACATTTAACAAAGATAGCTTATTGGCGGAAATATTTTCCAAAACCGCCAAGGGGATTTTTATCTAACCACCTCGATTAAAGCAACGGAGTCTGGGTCGAGTAAGTCCGAGATTCGATGTACTCGACTGAAACGTTTTAAAAAACGAAGACGTTTTCGTCCGATTAAAGCAATTTTTCTTGTCTGCGTGAGGGAACGGCCGAGTAGTTATGAAAGGATAAAGCTTATCGAGAGAGTAGGTCCTACGCGAGAACCGACTGTCAGTTGAGAGACTGTTTTTGATAGTTCCCCGAGAGATTGACATACACGACATGTACTAGGAGAAGCGTGCGCACGTTGTCACGTATATCGCAATATATACTTGTATATGCTACGGTACCGATGCTCAATTGGTGTCATTAATTACCCGAGTCCGTCCGACGAGCGTCTCCAAGAGTGCGCGAAGAGGTTCGCCGGACGGCAATTTTATAATGCATTACCCTCTCGAGATATTCCCGATATTCCGTGTAAGATGTCCCCGATCTCGGATTAATCCACCGGCGAAAAAAGGAAAGAGGGTCGTCGCGTATCGCGTTGCGATTTCGAAAACGCCGGATGAACTTTGCGTCGGATTAAAAAAAAATTATTTTCACGCAATAACGCGCCGCCTTTCGGTAATGATTCGAGACAGGTCACGTAACGCGACGGTATTACAGAAAATACAACAGAGAATAATAAAAAAAAAAATAACCAATATCCCGCAGAAAGCGAAACACGCACGAGGGTAAACCTAGGGACAAGAAGTTCTCCACGCAGACAAAATCCGTCGCGATCGAAAATTCATAAATTCAAAAATACGAAAATTCAGAAACTTGAAAATGTGCAAACGTGAAAATGTGAAAATTTGAAAGTACGAAAATATGAAAATGTGA